GAAGTTAAACGGTTCTATGAAGATCTACAAGACCTTTTAGAACCACCAAAAAAATGTTCTTTTCATTATAAGGGACTGGAATGCAAAAGTAGGAACTCAAGAAATACCTGGAGTAACAGGCAAATGTGGCCTTGGAGTACAGAATGAAACAGGGCAAAGGATGATAGAGTTTTGTCAAGAGAATGAGCTGGTCACAGGAAACACCCTCTTCCAACAACACAACAGAAGACTCTACACATGGACATCACCAGATAGTCAATACCAAAATCAGATGATTATATTCTTTGCAGCCAAAGATGGGGATGCTCTATACAGGCAGCAAAAACAAGACTGGGAGCTGACTGTGGCTCAGATCATGAACTCCTTATTGCCAAATTCATACTTAAATTGAAGAAAGTAGGGAAAACCACTAGACCATTCAGGTATGACCTAAATCAAATCCCTTACAATTATACAGAGGGAGTGAGAAATAGACTCAAGGTATTAGGTCTGATAGACAGTGCCTGGAGAACTATGGATGGAGGTTCATGATACTGTACAGGAGGCAGGGATTAAGACCATCCCCAAGAAAAAGAAATGCAAAAGGAAAAATGGTTATCTGAGGAGGCCTTAAAAATAGCTGTGAAAAGAAGAGAATTGAAAGGCAAAGGAGAAAAGGAAAGATATACCCATTTGAATGTAGAGTTCCAAAGAATTGCGAGAAGAGATAAGAAAGCCTTCCTCAGCATCATTGCAAAGAAATAGCAGAAAACAACAGAATGAGAAAGACCAGAGATCTCTTCAAGAAAATTAGACACACCAAGGGAACATTTCATGCAAATATGGGCACAATAAAGGACAGACATAGTGTGGACCTAACAGAAGATATTAAGAAGAGGTGGCAAGAATATACACAAGAACTGTACAAAAAAGATCTTCATGACCCAGATAATCACGATGGTGTGATCACTCACCTAGAGCCAGACATCCTGGAATGNTGAAATTAAAAGATGCTCACTCCAACCTAGACAGCATATTAAAAAGCAGAGACATTACTGCCAACATAGGTCCGTCTAGTCAAAGCTATAGTTTTTCCAGTGGTCATGTATGGATGTGAGAGTTGGCCTATAAAGAAAGCTGAGCACCGAAGAATTGATGGTTTTGAACTGTGGTGTTGGAGAAGGCTCTTGACAGTCCCTTGAACTGCAAGGAGATCCAACCAGTCCATCCTAAGGGAGATCAGTCCTGGGTGTTACTGGAAGGACTGATGTTGAAGCTGAAACTCCAGTACTTTGGCCACCTGAAGCGAAGAGGTGACTCATTTGAAAAGACCCTGATTCTGGGAAAGATTGGGGGCAGGAGGAGATGGGGATGACAGAAGATGAGATGGTTGGATGGCATCACCGACTCAAAGGACATGAGTTTGGGTAGACTCCAGGAGTTGTTGGTGATGGACACGGAGGCCTGGTGTGCTGCAGTCCATGGAGTCTCAAGGAGTCTTACATGACTGAGTGACTGAACTGAACTGAACTGATATGGACCTTTGTTGGCAAAGTAATGTCTCAGATTTTTATGTGCTGTATGTGTTTTTCACAGCCTTTCTTCCAAGGAGAACTGTCTTTTAATTTCGTGGTTGCAGTCACCATCTGTAATGATTTTGAAACCCAAGAAAATAAAGTCTATGACTGTTTCCAATGTTTCCCCATCTATTTGCCGTGAAGTGATGGGACTAGAGGCCATGATCTTTGATTTTTGAATGTTGAATTTTCAGCCTGCTTTCTCACTCTCCTCATTCACCTTCATCAAGAGGCTCTTTACTTCCTCTTCACTTTCTTCCATAAGGGTGGTGTCATCTCCATATCTGAGGTTATTGATATATCTCCCGGCAATCTTGATTTCAGCCTTTGCTTCATCTAGCCTGGAATTTCTCATGATGTATTATGCATATAAGTTAAATAAGAAGGATGTTTATTTTGGATGTTTATAGTCAATTTGTCATGGCTTAAAATTAGAAGCCCACAGAATGTCCTCATTGTTCAGTTGCTAAATCGTGTCCAACTCTTTTCAACTCCATGGACTGTAGCTAGGTTTCCTTGTCCTTCACTGTCTCCCAGAGTTTGCTCAAACTCATGTCCATTGTGTAGGTTATGCCATCCAACCATCTCATCCTCTGTTGCCCCTTTATTCTCTTGCCCTCAATCTTTCCCAGCATCAGGATCTTCTCCAGTGATTCAGCTCTTCCCATCAAGTGGCCAAAGTATTAGAGCTTCAGCTTCAGCATCAGTCCTTCCAATGAATATTTAGGGTTGATTTCCTTTAGGATAGACTGATTGGATCTCCTTGCTGTCCAGGGGATGCTCAAGAGTCTTCTCCAGCACCACAATTCAAAAGCTTCAATTATTTGGGGCACAGCCATCTTTATGGTCCAACTTCATGTCTCATGTGAAAAAACTAAAACTTTGACTGCATGAACCTTTGTCAGAAAAGGTATATATGTCTCTGCTTTTCAATATACTGTCTAGGTTTGTCATAGCTTTCCTTCCAAGGAGCAAGCATCTTTTAATTTCATGGCTGCAGTCACCATCCACAGTCATTTTGGAGCCCAAGAAAATAAAATCTGTCAATGTTTCCACTTTGTTCCTCATCTATTTGCCATAAAGTGATGGGACCAAATGCCATGATCTTAGTTTTCTAAAGGTTGAGTTTTAAGCCAGCTTTTTCACTCTCTCCTTTCACCCTCATCAAGAGGGCTCCTTATTTCCTCTTTGCTTCCTGCCATTAGAGTGGTCCATAGGTGAATATTTTTCAGCACTGAAAAGAAATGAGGTAACCAGCCATAGAAAAACATTGATCAACTTTAAATGCATATTACTAACTGAACAAAGCAAATCTGAAAAGGCTGCATGCTATATGATTCCAACTATATGACATTCTGAAAAAGGCAAAACCTCAAAGACGATGAAATGATAAGTGGTTCCCAGGAGTTCCTAGGGAGGTGGAGATGAATTCGTGGAGCACAGAAAACTTTTAGGGCAGTGAAACTACTCTGTAAGATACTATAATGGTGGGTACATGTCAGTGTACATTTGCCAATACCCATAGAATGTAAAACACCAAGAGTGAACACTAATGGAAACTATAGACATTAGTTAATAATAATAATATATCAATATTGATTCATCAATTGTAACAAGTGTAACAATTCATAATTGTGACACACTTATCCAGAATGTTCACCGTGGAACCAAAGAAGAGAGTTGAGAAGGGGTGTGGGAACTATGCACTTCCTGCACAATTTTGAAAACCTACAACTGCCTCCCAAAAATAGTCTATTTTTAAAAAATACAATCAGTCAAAATCTAAAAGAAAATAAAATTGGTTGTGGATGAAAAGATATATGATACAGCATGTGTAGTAAAATGCTAATAGTGGTGGTGTCTATGGATGTTCCCCATACAACTCTTTCAACTTTGTACTGTTTGGCATTTTTCATAATAAATATGGGGGGAAAGTCATTGTGGGTAATATTATGAGAAAACTTAGCACAGTAAGGTCAAAAGAAGCCTGTGGAATTTAACTCCATCAGGGTTTTCTCATATGATTCTATAAAAAATATATTACTTGATGTAACGAACTGAATTCTTAATCTAAATTTTAAAACCCAGTTGGTTCTCCTTTAAACACCAGAACCTAGTGTTTGATTTATTGTTTGAAAAATACAACTAGATATTAACTATATGTCATCTCATCAGTAGAGGAAAATGAGCAGGGCTTTGTAGTTTTTGAAACAATACTGATGATGTGGTAATCTACACAACAACTGTACTGGACTTTGTCAGTGTCCTTGTTACAATATAGCACTGTTTTATTTACCACCCAAAACATATATTTTCATTACTCACTACAATATGACAATAACAACAGTTTTGAATGGTGCATATTTCTCATTATGAATCTAAATACACAGAATGTTTGCTCTGTTCTCAGTCACTACACTGTGCAAAACTGGTATGTTAAAAATAGTATGACATATTTGCATATTTATCTGTATTAAAAGCCCCGTGAAACAGTTATTGCAGATACACAGCTGTTGCTTTTTAAGTATTTTTTAAAGGAACCATATCCATTCTTCTATGTAAATTACATACATTCTCAAATATATCATCTGAGCCAAGGGAGTTTCAAAGCTTTTAACAGGAAAACTTATTCTCAGAGGAAAAGAATGTTAAAGGAGAGGAATTGTAAATTTTTAGTCATTGTGTCCAAATGATAAATTTTTAACCTAAAATGATAAACTTGTTCCTTTGCCAAGTCAAATATCATAACTGTAAACAGAAAGTAATTCTGGATGCTTCTACAAATTATGGCCTTATTTCAGCATGGAGACTGTTTACCTCATCTACAGAGCACAGAAGAGATGCAGCTTTATATCAATCAAGTTACAGAAGTCTCCATTTTGTGACTTAAAAGTGACATATTCTGTTGTAAAGAATTTTTCTTTTAATTGCATTCTCATATCTTCATAAAAGCCAATAATAGAATTTTTCTTTTTAGTTAAAAATTAAATTATGTTCCTGGAATGCTAGCTACTATCATCTTGTAGTTCCCAGAAAAGAGATCCAACTGAAAAACAGTTCTAGCAATTTTCATTATTTTCCCTAAAATTGTAATATGAACACTTTCAATTTTAAGAAAACATGTGTATTTTCAACTCTGACCATATTAAGTTGATTAATATATAATTCCAATGCACATGAGGTGTTCTCATTTTAGTATCTGAACTCTAGTTTTATTTTTAAAGGTTTTTAAATATAAATAGTTGAATCAAAGATATATTTCATAGTTCAATTTTACCATGTTAGCTAAAGAAGAGGGTATTAAAAGGAAGGATTATCATATATTAAATTAAAAGTTTGTCACTTTGCAGCTCTAATCCATTTGGAAAAAAAAAGATGATTTCAGTACAGTTTAATCAGTTAGAGGTCTTTATTGCCTTAAGTATTAATTGATTAGGTTCTCACTAAGGTCAAAAGTACACTTGGCTGCCTAGAGACGGCCAATTAGCAAATTGTCAACTGTGCTTATTTACATTGACCAAACATAATAGTAGTTATTTGACTGTCAAGTCAGAAGGTCACCAAATCTTTTGTACACTTTGCCCGCCAAAAGGGCAGCAGTCATTTAGACACCAGAAAGCATTCATAACAAAGATTTAGTTTATTACTTATTGACTTAAATCACTCTTAGAAACAGGTGTTTCATTCTCTTTGGACAACTGATATATCATTTCTTTTGTGAAATACTTGAGGTCCAGTTGAAATTCTGTGCTTGATTGTATCTGAAGATTTTTGTTCAGCAAGCAGCTTGCTCTTCAAACTCTAAATAGCTTTTTTAAGAGCAAACCAATCCAATGACTATAATCCTTCGCAATATAGACTTTTCTCCTGCTAAGTGATTGCAGTGAGTTGGAACAAGTTGGACACAGGTGCTGAAATGCCTCTGGGGCACTATTCTCAAAGTTGAAGGTCAGAAGCACATTTGAGTCTCACCTTAATGAGGACATTGGTATGTTTTTGAATATACTGGTGCTGCCATGGATATTGGATATTTTCTACAGACCAAAAGAGAAATGAAAACTCAAGGTTATTCATGAACCAGTAATCTAAAATTTCTTCCTATAATCCCAGTGATTTTTTTTATCATCATAAGTCATTACACCTAATTTATTTAGTGGTGATATAACTAGTTGCATTTGTTAGCATTTTTTTTCTATTTACATTCTTCTACTTAAATTTAACATTATTCTCCATTACATTTTTCAGTTATTTATTGAAATATCACTGATGATCCCATGAGTTAATACTTTAAGGAGTATTTTTGTTTCACATTATCATTTTTACAACTTATTCCTATAGATCAAACTAGAAACCCATGAGTTAGCCTAGATTCCTTCCTCTCTCCAAATATTCATCTCATCAAGGATCACATTCTGTCAGTTCTAATTACTGAAAGTCATCAATAGATATTAATATAAGTACCCTCCACTTCAACCCACTGTCACTGCCTCTTAGCAACTTGTTGGCTCTTGATTAAATTGCTATGATACATTTTTCAGTATCTTATCAGTGATTCAGTGACCTTCTGTTGGCATGACTATCTTCCTGCTAGATTGGGACTCCTTTAGAATAGGGTGATATATTTTTACTATATGCCCCACAAACAGTGTTTGGCACATACAGATTTTCAGTAAAAATTTACTGAGTAAATATAAATGACCACAATTAGCTTTATGCTACATAATGTAAGCCTTGATAGAGTAATAATTTTTATGATTTATGAACTCATTAAATCAAATTTTCACTAGTATTAAATTATTAATATTTTCCAACTATAATAAGAAGCAATAAGTTATAATTCATCCATATGGCTAAACCAACAGCATTGACTTTGAAGACAGAGAGAGCCCAAGCCAAAGGAAAAAGTTACTATCATACTTCTTGAGTAATTAAGCTATCAAGTATAGGTAAAAAACAAATCCACATACTATCAAAACATGTGCTTTGTCTGTGGTATCATATGACTAAATAACAGTTACTATTTACACACTGTGGACTTTGATATATTAGCTATTTGCCTCTCAAAACAATGCAATGTAAACATATTTGTCCTTTTTCAAATAAAAAACTAGTTTCATAGGATAACTTATCTAAACACTAGCATATAACCCAGATATTGCTTGCTCCAAAGCCTGAGTTCTATCTACCACAGTAAAATTTGCATCCTTCTTTAGAACTTTGGACAACCTGTTGGGTTGGCCAAAGAATTCATTCAAGTTTTTCTGTAACACCTGGAAAAATCAGAATGAACTTTTTGACCAACCCAATATTTTACATTATTCAAAAACTTTACTAAATGTTGCATAGAGATGTTTCATATCTATTGTTGGGTTGATTTGGAAAGTGTGGGGAAGATAATCAGTAGAGTCAAAGGTGGGGAAAATGACAGTGGAAATTAAAAGTAATATGACTTAGTAGTTAAGACTGCATGGGCTTTGACATTATACAGCCCTACACTTGAGTTCTAGGTCTTCCTTGTACGATCTGTGTGATCTTCTGTGTGTGGCTTGACCTATACATTTCAGTGCCAATCTCTAAAATAAATATAATAATTTTTGTTGTTGCTGTTTAATCAGTCAGCTTTTGCAACCTCATGGACTGTAGCATGCCAGGCTTCCCTGTCCTTCACCATCTCCCAGAGCTTGCTCAAACTCATGTCCATTGAGTCTGTGATGCCATCCAACCACCACATCCTCTGTCATCCCCTTCTCCTGCCTTCAATCTTTCCTAGCATCAGGATCTTTTCTAATGAGTCAGCTCTTCACATCAGGTGGCCAAAGTATTGGAGCTTCAGTTTCAGCATCAGTCCTTCCAATGCATACTCAGGATTGATTTCCTTTAGGATTGACTGATTTGATCTCCTTGCAGTCTAAGGGACTCTCAAGAGTCTTCTCCAACACCACAGTTCAAAAGCATTCTTTGGCACTCAGCTTTCTTTATGGTCAAACTCTCATATCCATACATGACTACTTTAAAAACCATAGCTTTGACTATATGGACATTTGTCAGCAAAGTCAAGTCTCTGTTTTTTAATATGCTGTCTAGGTTAGTCATAGCTTTTCTTCCAAGGAGCAAGCATCTTTTAATTTCATGGCTGCAGTCACCATCTGTAGTGATTTTGGAACCCAAGAAAATAAATTCTGTCACTGTTTCCACTGTTTCCCCATCTATTTACCATGAAGTGATGGGACTGGGTGCCATGATTTTCTTTTTTTTTTAATGTTGAGTTTTAAGCTGGCCTTTTCACTCTCTTTCACTTTCATCAAGAGGCTCTTTAGTTCCTCTTTACTTTCTTCCATAAGGATGGTGTCATCTCCATACCTGAGATTATTGCTGGTTACTTCTCCCAGCAATCTTGATTCCAGCTTGTGCTTCATCCAGCCTGGCATTTCACATGATGTAATCTGCATATAAGTTAAATAAGCAGGGTGTCAATATACAGTCTTGACATACTCCTTTCCCAATTTGGAACCAGTCTGTTGTTCTATTTCTGGTCCTAGCTTTTGCTTCTTGACCTGCATACAGATTTCTCAAGAGGCAGATCAGGTGGTCTGGTATTCCCATCTCTTGAAGAATTTTCCACAGTTTGTTGTGACCTGTACAATCAAAGGCTTTAGCATAGTAATGAAGCAGAAGTAGGTGTTTTTCTGAAATTTTCTTGCTTTTTATATGATCCAACAGATGTTGGCAGTTTGATCTCTGGTTCCTCTGCCTTTTCTAAATACAGCTTATACATCTGGAAGTTCTCAGTTCATGATCTGTTGAAGCCTAGCTTGAATAATTTTGAGCAAATAATTACTCTGCTAGTGTGTGAACTGAATACAATTGTGTGGTAGTTTGAACATTCTTTGGCATTGCCTTTCTTTGGGATTGGAATGAAAACTGACCTTTTCCAGTCCTGTGGCCACGGCTGAGTTTTCCAAATTTGCTGGCATGTTGAGTTCAGCACTTTAACAGCATCATCTCTTAGGATCTGAAATAGCTCACCTGGAATTCCATCACCTCCACTAGCTTTGTTCATAATGATGCTTCCTAAGGCCAACTTGACTCCACACTCAAGGATGTCTGGCTTAGATAAGTGATCACACCCTCATCATTATCTGAGTCTTGAAGATCTTTTTTGTATAGTTCTGTGTATCCTTGCCACCTCTTCTTAATATCTTCTGCTTCTGTTAGGGCCATACCATTTCTGTCCTTTGTTGTGCCCATCTTTGCATGAAATATTCCCTTGGTATCTCTCATTTCCTTGAAGAGATCTCTAGTCTTTCCCATTCTCCTGTTTTCCTCTATTTCTTTGGATTGGTCACTTAGGAAGGCTTTCTTATCTCTCCTTGCTATTCTTTGGACCTCTGTATTCAGATGGGTATATCTTTCCTTTTCTCCTTTGCCTTTCACTTCTGCTTCTCAGCTATTTGTAAGGCCACCTCAAACAGCCATTTTGCCTAATATAATAATAATAACTGCCAATTAATTTGTGATTATCAAATGATATTATGCAGATAAGTTGTTAGCACAGTTTTTACTAAAAAGAGTTCCTACTGTTTTATTTTTTGTTATATATAAGACAAGCAAATAAAACAGATGTTTTATTGCCTTTTCCTCATTTAATGAGGTGTTATTGGTGAGTCTATAGTTAGGCAAAGAATAAACAAGGTGAATTCACCATACTGAAAGTATATTCACCATACTGAATGTGTGTGTGTGTGTTTGTGTGCGCGCGTGCATGTGCACATGCCCATGTATGTGCTCAGTAGCTTCAGTTGTGTCTGACTTTTTGTCACCCCATGGACTGCAGCCCACCAGGCTCCTCAGTCCATGGGATACTCCAGGCAACAATAATGGAGTGGGTTGCCATGCCCTCCTCCAGAGGGTCTTCCTGACCCAAGGATTGAACCAGAGTCTCCTTCATTGCAGGTAGATTCTTTACTACTGAGCCCCCAAGGAAGCACCATTGACTTGTGTATTGTCTCCTAATTAATAAGCATTTATTGAATGCCTGTTATGTGTTCATAACTTAGAATCTGTGTTAGATGTTGAGGGTAATATACCTGATTCTACAGAATTCATTTTCACTCAGATTTAAGTAGAAATGCAACACTCATTTGTACACTTAAGAGAAAATTTAGAAATTTTAAATAAAATTCAGCCATTAGTATCAAGTTAATGTCTTGTTCAAATATCTTTGCAATGATTACAGTTCACATTTAATATTTGGTATGCAATCCTAAAAGAATGAAATTTTTAGATTTTTACAATTTTTAGCATGCCCAGCTCAAACTTTTACTGTATTCTATTAGATGGTTATTCTTATTCTAACTTTTTTTCATCAGCCACTTCTTATTTGATCATAACAACTCTGGTTGCCTGCCTAATTGTTAGCTATTTTCTCTTGTTAGCTCACCTAAAATAAAGTATGACAGTAAGGATTCCCCTTTTTTCTTATTTCTTTTGGTTTATTTTAAACAAAGATACTGTATCCATTGATGGAAAAAAGAAGAAGAATCCTTATCTTTTTTTCTGTTTTTACAGTGTTTCCCATGAGTTTTAGTATTTGTTCTTGGCTAAACTCCCTTATCATTCATTATGTTGCTTTTGAAATGGATTCTTTTAGCAAATATTTATTGAAAACCAGGTTCTTTGCTGTTGATGTCACGGAACTTGCATGAGAGGAGAGGGGAGACAAAAAGTAAACAGAATAAAGGAGACTGAGAATGGAGACAATGATGTCGGGGAGAAGGAAGTTACAGTTATTAAACAGATAGGATAGTCATGGATGGGCTCATTGAGAAATGACATGCTCTGCTTGAGCAGAGACCTCAAGGAAGTAAAGAATTTAGCCAGGCATATTACTGGATTATGGCAGTCCAGGCAGAAGAAACAGCCATTTGACATGTGGTAAAGCAGAAGTTCTCAAGGTTTGAGGCTTTTTTGAGAAATAACAAGGTGGCTAATGTGGCTAAAGCAAAGTGAATTTATAAGAGAATGCTAACATGGTCATAGAGGTAAGAGGAGAGGTCCAGGGACTTTACTGAGTCTTATGCGGGGTGTGGAAGCAGGGGTAGGTATTTGTGTTTTACCCTGAGTACAGTGGGGAGCCCAGAAGGTTTTGAGTGGAAGACCTGACCTGATGTGATGTATATGTTAACAGTGTCACTTGGGCACTGGCTTGAGCATAGGTCCTACCAAGGGTAGAGCCAATGGACCAATTAAGAGGTTATTTCAATAATCCAGATGAAAAATGAAAGTGACTTGGTTTAAGAAAGTAATATTGAACTTTTAGTGAGAAGTGGCTGGATTCTGGATACATTTTGAAAGTACAACTGACAAAAAGTGAGGAGTTAAAAAAAGAAAGAAAGAAAGAAAATTAAAAAGAGAACAGCAGGATCCTCTATGACCCACCTCCCAGAATATTGGAAATAAAAGCAAAAATACACAAATAGGACCTAATTAAACTTAAAAGCTTTTGCACAACAAAGGAAACTATAAGCAAGGTGAAAAGACAGTCTTTACAATGGGAGAAAATAATAGCAAACGAAACAACAGACAAAGGATTAATCTCAAAAATATACAAGCAACTACTGCAGCTCAATTCCAGAAAAGTTAATAACCCAATCAAGAAATGGGCCAAAGAACTAAACAGACATTTCCCCAAAGAAGACATACAGATGGCTAACAAACACATGAAAAGATGCTCAACATCACTCATTATCAGAGAACTGCAAATCAAAACCACAATGAGGTACCATTACACGCCAGTCAGGGATGACTGCTATCCAAAAGTCTACAAGCAATAAATGCTGGAGAGGGTGTGGAGAAAAGGGAACCCTCTTACACTGTTGGTGGGAATGCAAATTAGTACAGCCACTATGGAAAACAGTGTGGAGATTTCTTTAAAAACTGGAAATAGAACTGCCATATGAGCCAGCAATCCCACTTCTGGGCATACACACCGAGGAAACTAGATCTGAAAGAGACACGTGCACCCCAATGTTCATCGCAGCACTGTTTATAATAGCCAGGACATGGAAGCAACCTAGATGTCCATCAGCAGACGAATGGATAAGGAAGCTGTGGTACATATACACCATGGAATATTACTCAGCCATTAAAAAGAATACATTTGAATCAGTTCTAATGAGATGGATGAAACTGGAGCCCATTATACAGAGTGAAGTAAGCCAGAAAGATAACATTACAGCATACTGACACATATATGAAATTTAGAAAGATGCTAATGATAACCCTATATGCAAAACAGAAAAAGAGACACAGATGTACAGAACAGACTTTTAGACTCTGTGGGAGAAGGCGAGGGTGGGATGTTTCGAGAGAACAGCATTGAAACATGTATATTATCAAGGGTGAAACAGATCACCAGCCCAGGTGGGATGCATGAGACAAGTGCTCGGGCCTGGTGCACTGGGAAGACCCAGAGGGATCGGGTAGAGAGGGAGGTGGGAGAGGGGATCAGGATGGCGAACACATGTAAATCCATGGCTGATTCATGTCAATGTATGGCAAAAACCACTACAATATTGTAAAGTAATTAGCCTCCAACTAATAAAAATAAATGGAAAAAAAAAGAGGACTCAAGGGAAATGCCAAGGTTTGGGGCCTGAGCAACAATAGAACACACAACTGGTAAAAATTCTACACTCTGTGTTCCTAATGATTCTATGTATCAATTTTATTTATAAAACTATTTTAACTTCTGTTTTACCCTTTGATGTTTCAAAAGTAGGGGCCCAATCAACTAAAAAGTTCTAACACTTTGAATGCTCTTGGTGGACATGGAGCGGCTCTGTGTAAATCAGTATACTAGCAGTCACTGCTGAGGACACCGCTACCTCCAGTACTTACTAGACAGCGTAACATCAACATGAGGCTACTTGGAACGTACAGAACTATTAGATGACATGGCCACTGTCTCCTGTAAGTTTATTTTCTGTCTCATCATTGAGGTAAATGGATTTCCAAGTCTCTGACTGGGTTGGGATCTTAGGTACAGGGTCTGGATGTCGGGTGCTTTCCATTGGTCTCTGTGTGATTTAAAGCATGAGAAGTTCCAGGTGATATGGTTTTAGGGATGTGAGAACCATTATAAATATTACATCCCAAGTCAAGAAGTAGAAATCAGTCAGCAAGAAAAGACCTGCCCCAGAAAATTGTGATGTTTGTCCAGTTATCTCAGAAGACATCCTATCTCTTTTTTTCTAAATATTTAGGGAAAGCCTTGCTGTAGCCTTCAAACACTAACAAGTTTACTGGGGAGGTGGGAAAAGATGAATATGTATAAAGAGAAATAAGAATAGATATCAATAAGCATAAAATGTGTGGTATTGCAAAATTCATATCTACAATGAATTATCTTTATTATGCTCCTTCCTTTTTTTCATTTTATGTTCTTTAGGCAACTACTATTAATAGCATCTCATTTGAAAATTTAAAATTTTTTGGTATCTTTTTTCTCAATTTAGTTGAATGCAAAGAAAACCTTTGAAATGCAAATAAAAGTCATTTCTCAGGTCCCCAAGAAGATTTGGGACAGCAAACCTTGAATAAGTTTTGGAAAGAATCATATAATTCCTATGGAATCCCAGGTTTAATCCTGAGACAAAGAAGGACTAGCTAAGCATGAAATACAAACTGTTGCTAACTTTAGTTTTCTCCAATCAGATTTTCATGAAACATTTTCATATCGTCAACTGAGACAAATGAATTTTTCTAATGCTCTATAATCCTTTGTTAAAATTCAATTAAAGAACAAGTCTACAGTCAAATACAAATTATTTTATGTTTAATTTTGGATAATCCTCTTCTCATTTTTTTGGCATTAAAACAAATTGCAATTACTGAAGCCCAAAGATTATAAAACAGTATTTAAGCATTCAAGTTCAATATCAAGTTCATTTAAGTTCAAAAGATTAAAGGAGAATACAGAGACTAGGATTAGAGAATAAAGTTTCTGAGAACAGATGGGGCAAGTTTAAAAAGGTTTTAGGGAGAAAATACGATACTCAATTTTAGAAGGAAAGGAGAGGAGATAACTTATTTTGGCAGTAACTTAGGCTTTTACTACAAAGGATATTATTTTAATAGTCTTTGTAATTGACTATAATAATATGTTTTGTCCTTTAACATAAAATAATATTTCCCATATCTTTATACAGACACTACTCTGAGACTGAGCAAACTGTTTGGAAGACAGGAATTGACGAACAAATCATAATTCTTTTAAATAACTTTTCTCAGCTCTTTCATCAGTGTGTATGAGTCAGTCTAGACTCAGCACTGGGTCAGACCCTACCTGCTTCTATTTCTTTTGCTGGACAGAGCACAAACCCACAATCCAGATCAAACACTTAGAAATCTTACTCCTCCATCTACTCAAGATGATCTCTAACAGAATTGTTTTTCTCTCCTTTCGCCTCTGAAGAGAATTTTCATTTTAAACCCTTCTAATTTAACAGAGAGAAAGGTTAAAAAGAAAGTCAATCTCCATCCCCAGACCCCATTTTAAAAAAAAGTCATCCACAGTTTCCCACTGACTTGGAGCCAAAAACCCTGCCAATTTTGCTCTCATATCTGCAAGTGTACCCTGACCCTTCATATGACCAGTGGGGCTTCTTGCATAAGATCTATCTGGGCGCCTTTCTAAAAGTGCTATCCTCGTCCATATTTCAAAACACTCACAGATATTTTATCATTAATTAGTATTCATATTATGTCTCAAACAATCTGTTCACAAATAGGGGAAGTGAACTAGTTGAACAGCTCTTCTGTTTGTCTAGTGTTTAACACGGATGATGTACGTAGAGCCCAGGACCTTTTAAGGGAGGAGGCGGTCAAATGTTGAATAGGTAACTCTTGAAACATTTAGAAGTTTACCTATTTCAGAGGCTGGACTTCTCCAGAGAAACTATACTTGGCAAACAGGGTGGGGAGACACAGGCCTCTTTAAAAATAGACCCATGCCTCTTTGATTCACAGCATCCTGGATTTGCTTTTCATCATGTTAACATGCCACTTGGGAGCTGGCTGGACTCCCTTGTTCAGTGACATATATTTCATAGTGTTGTTTTTTTTTTTTTTTTCCGAAAGACCCATTTGTTCTTTCAACCACAACATGCTTTGCATTTTCTTTCAAATTTGAGGGTGTATATATATAGATTGATCATAACAATATTTTTAACATTCCAAACAATTTAGAAAGATAGTGGATGGGTGTCAGTTAATCTATTATGTTCATCTCTTCCTCCTCCCCCTCTTCAGCTGCTAATCTTAGAAGTTGTGTGCCAAATTGTGTAAGATATTCTTCCAATAGCTACATGTGTGACTCTTTTGTGAGCTCCACAGACAGTTATGAGGACAGATTTGGAGTTGCATATGGGACTGTCACATGGTTTGATTGCCTTGTCTTCCAGGCACTGAGATTTCTTTTCACTGAGCTTTAATACTTAGGAATTTTTAGTTATGATAAAAGTTCGGGAAAGTCTCTATTAAATTATTTACACACTTCAAGAATGAGAAAGGAAAATTTTTTACTCACCACCACTCTGTGTTTGGCATCTGTATATACTTAATAGTTCATATGTTTACTTTTTATAGTAGTGAAAAAATTCATAGAATCTTCATGAAAATCAGAGAGTTAAGAGCCTTTATTATCCTCCTTGCTCTTTGGAGCAAGAACTAGTAACGTTGCAACAGAAAAGAAAGCAGATGCTTTGTAAAAAGGTCTCATATAACTTGTGTCCAATTGTAGAGGATGATTTGTAGGAAAATGTGATCTATCAACTGTTAGGAGCCAAAAATCCTATGTCTTTAGTCTCTGAAATGGTAAGGTATGAATTACTTTATGTACACACATTGAAAACCCTTTTTCAGGACACAAATACCACAGCCCTTCATCCCATTGAACCACAGTGCCACCCTTGAGGGACAAACAGCCTTACAACAAAGTCTTTCTCTTTATCTTAATTCAAATACTTTTTAAGAATGAACAGTGTCCTAGTGATATCTGCATCTAGTGAATGATAATATTATAAAAATGTTAATCACATACACATATTAATTTCACCCTGTAAAACAAATATAATGGTTATTCAGAGTTGCACCTTTATTTGCTTCAGTTCTAATTCAGAAATATTAATGATGCCTACCATATATTGATTGTCACTCTGAGCCTAAACTCTCTAAAATAGGTATTTTACATACACACTCCTAATCCTCAGAATAACACACCAAAGTAAATGTTATTATTACCCCGTTCTTCCCAGTTGAGTCAGAACTCAGAAACAGTTTGAATGAGGAAAGAGGTATATTTTCTTGTTTTGCACTTGAATTTCCTTTTCTTGTTTTAGGTTGGGGAAGTCATGTAACTTGCTGGGTAAATTGTACTAGTACCTTGCACAATGAAACTTGTGAGTGGTGGAATACAAACCGAAGCTTCCATGTCCTTGAGCCACACCCTGAAAATTCTGGAAGCTCTGCACAGAGGCGCTGGACTTCACCACATTCTCATGGCTCACTGTTACCTAAGGAGCAGCAAGTTCATTGCGACTGCTCTGGATACCTGGCAGAGGAACTTAACGACACGTAAAGAGGTACCTACAGTATCTATTTTATTTCTAGTCTACGAAAGAGCAATTTATGAAGAGGTTTTCTCCAGATAGTATCAAGTCTTTCTCAGTGCATTTCATAAGGGTTGGAACTAAATCTGGCATAATAAGGTTTGATTGAGCTGTTATGTTCTGCCTCGTAAGTGGCTGTGCGCAATTGAGAAAGAAAATTGCTTAATAGAAAGTTACAGTCATCACTAACTTTATCTTAATTCTCCAAAGCAATAAGCTAAGAGTGCTATAAGAGCAGCTTAAGGCTGTTAGAAAATGCTGAAAAACACTCTATTTAGAAACATTTCTGCCCATATGTCACACTGTACTTTCTTGTGATGGGCATTTATTTTTCTGATATTTTGTTCACTTAGGGTAAGTTTTATCCTCTGTCTCCAAGGATATTTCTAAAGGGATTTATCTATCCATTCTTCTAAAATATTTAGCAGAAATTCTGTTTTTCAGCATGAGATCTGTACCCTGGTTTTGGTTTGTAACTTTTAGCTATCCCACAGACATCAAAAGCCATTTCTGAAATATATTGAATTTAGATCATAACATTATTTATATGACTGTGTCATCAGAAATTAATGAGCTGTTTATGAAAAATAGATTAAGCTAATGATTGGAATTTATTCTAGGAAGAAATAAGAAAGTATCTGTTCTTTTTTACTGTTGAAAGTTATACTGGCAATATAATCATTATTTGCAGATATTACCTACCTAGCAAAGGCATGAGACATGTGAACCAGTAAAACTAAGAGTTTTAATGAGTTTAGAGTTTAGTAAGATTCAGGGTTTAGTAAGACTGCTAGGTATGAAGTAAACTGTTTAAATCATTTCCTTCCCAAATATCAGAAATTACCAATTTAAAAAGATAATAGAAGAAAAAAGATAATATGTACAGTAGCATCAAAACCTTTAAGAAACTCAGAACCACTGTAAGGAAAACTGTGAATCTTTACGACAAGATGAAGCTTTAAAAAATTGGAAAGGTACACCATATTTCTGAATGGAAATGATCTGAAGATACCTATTTTTTATATTTTTATTTTAAAAATAAATTTATTTCATTAAAACCAACCTCACAGGGAATGTATTTAATACAATGATTCTGAAATAGATAATAGAGACATAAAGAAGGCAAAAAATAGCCTGGAAATTATTACCAAAAGAAGAAACTGGAAGCGAAAAAGGAATATAGAGGAAGAAGAAGAATTGGAAAGACTTATACTGCCAGATATTAAAAGATAATGTAAAGATCCAATTACAGTCATGTAACATTGGTACAGTAACATTATAATCAGTGACTCAAACTTGAAATTTCCCTTAAAACTATGTGCTTTAACATTTGCAAAGGTGTGACTGTGTCTTTAGACCCAAACAGAACACAGAAGCCATGCTGCCTGTTGCTGACTTGGCAAAGTTTGCTTCGGTGAAGCCTTGTTTTATATGAATGAGCCTACTCCTAACTGCACCTGCTAACAGGGTGGAGTTTGCTAGCAGTCCCCCGAAATGCCTCTTACTCTGGTTATGAATCGTGGAGTTTCTCTGAATTCAGTGGGGTATATCGCTTGCAAATCGGAGAGCCTTTCCTCTCCCAATGACTCATGGCATCTGTAGAATTCTTACAAAAGTTGCTTTCTTCAGTTGATAGGGACAATATGTCCTGGATCTGTGCTTTACTTAATTTTTGCTGTGGCTGACATTTTTAAATTTGAGCTCTTTCACAGATTCCCTCCCCCCTCCTCCCCCAGCAGCTTCATTTGGTATTCAATGCAAGCTAAAAATAAGACAGTATAAACTTTTACATTATTTAAGCTAATCTTAAGTTTTAATACAGAGTAAACATATTTATTAATAACGTATTTCTTCTCACTTATCCACAAGTATGGGTTTCAATTCGGAAAGAGTTTCACTGAGGAAAGTTCGTAGACTATTTTAAGTGAGGCTAAGGAGCAAAATAAATGCGGGTCACCTTGATAGATTTTGTGAGATAATTTCTAGGCAAGCTAACCATACCCACCTTACAACTAAATGTAATGCAAATTACCATATCAAACAGAGAAGCTGAGGCTTCCAGTTAGACGTCTTTAGTTTTCTGCTTAGTTAATGTCAATGTAATTACTGCTTATAGTAATTTGCTACAGAATCACTGTATGTCATTATTTTGCTGTTGGAAGAGATTACGTTTTTAGCTAAGAAGAAAATGAGTTTGAGAAAGATATTTTGCCAAGTTGAAATTTATGGCTGGGGCTGTAAGGTATAAGGAATATGTCTAGCTTTGTCTTAAAAATGACTTGCTATCAGAAGTTAAATGATCATTTTATAATTTTCTATAAAGTGAAAGAAAGGTATTTTTAATTTAATTACCCATGCCTGAAAGGATATTTGAGTATATTCTTATTGGAATAATTAGCAATTTGAACATAGCATAATAAGCTATTATACTCTTTCCAGAAATTTTTTGATTCTTTGGTTTTCTTTGAAGGTGTTAGGAGAGTACAGAATGACATGATATTATTCAACATGCTGATAGTTCTTAGGATCGTAATGTTGGTTGTTAAAACTTTACTAAATCGACTTGACAGTTTCAAATTAAGTATCATCTTGTGTTTTTCCTTTCTCCATATCTTTTTAATGACGGTGTCATATAATATAATGGTTTTATGAGTGGTTTTGCTATCTCATTCATCAGAGTAATCAATGGGGAAAGGAGCCATATGGGTTTTAGTCCATTTGTATTGGATAGGACAGATGGCATTATTGATAGATGGAAATATTCCAAGTATTTATTGTATAATGATATCACAAGGACTCTGACTTCTGAATTTTAAAAATTTCATTTCTACAGTAACTGGCAACTTAAGTAATTTATACAGTTGCCTTGCATCCATTTAATCATATCAGTGTGTGAATTGTAGCATTAATTACCTTTCAGTTAATACTGTATTTTATATGATGGGCATTTCTTTTTCTAAGCCTTTGTGTTTACTTATCTGATTTCTGACCAAGCTATCAGTTTGGTCTTGAGGATTTTAAACCTAAAACAATGTTTAGAGCAGACAATATGTAAAGATAGGATGCTAGAAGTGAACTTCTCTTCCAATATCATCTTTGTCCTGTGGGAGACCAGAGAGAAAAGGTACTCTTAAAGAATCTTTACATTTTCTTCTTGCATAAGTTATCACCCTCAATACATTTCTTTTTTTTCCCCATTTATTTTTATTAGTTGGAGGCTAATTGCTTTACAATATTGTAGTGGTTTTTGCCATACATTGACATGAATCAGCCATGGATTTACATGTCTCAATACATTTCTTAAAATTATATTTAATATAACTGTGGGCATAAAGACATAATGATGTAATTCAGGTTCCAATTCTATTTTATTTTCTCAACTTGCAATTGAGTTATTCCAATAAGGGTTATGGCTGGTGACCGTCATTACCATTAAAACACCATCCTCGGGAAAGGTACACACCTTGAGTCTGGCATCTTAGACCACTCGGCCATCCTGACAAAAAACTGCCCAAAAAATAAAAATAAAAATAAAAATAAATAATAATAAATAAAACACCATCCTCCCAAAATGTTTGACACCATTGAAGAATCACATTTGCACTACTGGAAATAAATGAAATTCAGTGAAAAAGAGGTCTTCACTTTTGTATTTTATATTTTTTTTCCTTAAATGCATACTGAATGTATATAGTCATGCCTTACTTTGCAATTGAAAAGTTAAAAGTGATAGTTTGAGTCATTCTAAAACTTCCATTGTCACTGTTTTATTTTTAAAATATTGTCAACCCCTATTATTGAAGGCCTAGTATGTATTTAAGCACTGCTGGGAGTTTTCTGTTACCTCTAGGTTGCTTACTATTTTACTTAGGAAGTTAATGTAAATTCCTTGAGTAGTGACATTTTTTCCAAACTAAAAATTAGAACACATTGTCCAACAGTGTTTTTTTTTTTTTCAATTTGTGAATTTGTTACTGTGAAAAAATTACAAATGATTAAAAATGAAAGATTTTTTACACTTGTTATAAATTAATCATTACCTCCTTTACTGACTTGACACCACTAAATTCCGAGATCTAGCTCACTGCCTTGCACATGTCAAATTCAAAGTTTGTTGATTATGATACTTATAAACAAAGTAGGATAGTGTATATCCACTAAGGCGATTGGAAATAGAAAGAGTTTAATTATATGCTTTCAAAATGATAATGTGATCCCACTAATGAAATAGCAACTTTATACTCAATTTTGATAAGATCAATCTTTTTAAAAAGTTCTTACAGAAATAGATAATGTAATTATATTAGAAGATTAAGTTGACCAAGCTTTATTTAGTCAAAAATATGTAATATTGTTCAGTGGGCCAAGAGGACAAGAAAACTTAGACCTATCCAGAGACATCCCATTCAAACAGACTCTCTATGCATGATTTAGGGCAAAACTGTTTGCATTCTTACTTCCCTGGCAAGTACAAATGGACCAAATAAATCCTGATGATCCCAGATTTCTCTAACACTCTAGGACAATTTGGGCTTCCCTAGTGGAGCTGGTGGTAAAGAGCGTGCCTGCCAATGAAGGACATGTAAGGGTCGCAGGTTTGATCCCTGGATCAGGAAGATCCCCTGGAGGAAGGCATGGCAACCCACTCCAGTAATCTTACCTGGAGAATCCCATGGACAGAGGAGCCTGGCAGGCTGCAGCCCATAGGGTTGCAAAGAGTCAGACACGACTGAAGTGACTTAGCACGCAGTACCAGACACACGAGGACAATTTCAGAAGCATTGATTAAAATGGCATAGATAGTATTCAGATAGAAATAGCAGGACCAATAATAAAGCAAAAACAAAAAAAGACTAGGACTAATTGAAGTGATTTGGAATTTTAAGTATTCTACATATATTTACTTTTACTTTTTAAAAAAGCCAAAGTCTAAGTAAAATAAAAGGCATAAGTATTTTGTTGTCACTAAAGAC